GGAGAGGGGGGGGGGGGGGGGGAAAGGGCAGAGGGGGGGGTGGGAACCAGGTGGAGGGGAGCTATGGGGGGAAAAGAGGAACAACTATAATAATCTGAACAATAAAGATTTAATTTTAAAAAATAAAAAAATAAAGAAGCAGAGAGAATTTCAAACAGTAGTTTTACCAAATAGGGGTTAGCCTTCTCAATCTCTTTACCTTTCCTTTCCCCTCTCCCTAAAAATCAAATAAAAAATTAAACAACATATCCATTTAGATTTGTGGTCCTTGGATAATTAAAAAATAAAGATTTAATTTTAAAAAATAAAAAAATAAAGAATAGCAGAGAATTTCAAACAGTAGTTTTACCAAATAGGGGTTAGCCTTCTCAATCTCTTTACCTTTCCTTTCCCCTCTCCCTAAAAATCAAATAAAAAATTAAACAACATATCCATTTAGATTTGTGGTCCTTGGGAATAATTAAAATAATGCTTTTCACATTGGGAAAATTCAGAGCTTCATGGAATCTGAAATAGTATCTCAAAAGATCAGTTGCAGACACTTCCCAGAAATCTGTGACCAGTCCCCAAATCCTAAAGTTGTCATTTCCCAGTGCCACTGGAGCGCCCCAACACCAATGTTTGCATTGATCAGTTAGTGACTAGGATCCTGTTGCCATCTGTTGGGCCTGAAAAAGTAAGTTACCCAAAGGACAATGCACCCACTGATGGCTGCGTTTAGCCAATGAAAGCCCAGAACAGGTTTATGTACCAGTGTTGATTGGTTTGGGTATTACCACTACTTTCTCAAAGTGGTCATTCTGAGCTCTGTGTTCTGTTAATGAAGTCAGAGGCTCTAGTGCTGAGTCACAATTAGGACAAGGCATCAGAAGCAGCATCTCCTTCGTGCAGTGGTTTGTCTGTAGCTTGATGAGCAGCAACAGCCAGTCTTGAAGCCTATGTTCCTCCCAGACTCTGTTTTGCTTACAGAGTTCTACTATCCTCACTCCATTTACCCTCCATCCTTGGGTGCTGGTGCCTATCAGGTCTTGAATCCCAGGTCACTGAATCCAGAACAGTGAGTCGCTTGTGGGTGATACATGTTGTGATGGAGGAAAGAGGGTGACAGGCTGCAATGACACCCTGTATGGTTTTGGATGATGTGGCTGAGTTGGGAAGATTCCGGAATCTTGGGCCTGTTTTGTACTTAAGGGCAACAGAGAAAATAAAGCAAATTTTTGAATGAGAAGTTTTAGTTTCATTCTCAGGAACCTAGGACCATGGATGGCGGAGAATGAAAGAAGGACATTGTCTGAAGTAGAGTTCTAAACTTTTCCCAAAGGCTCAGAGGAAGAACAAACTAGAAGGGAGAGGATACCCTTTGAGGACAGGAAGGAGAACTCCTTTGAAAGATAACAAACTAGGCAAGAATGTGCACTGAAGGCTGAAGCCCTGAGGTAATGCAGGCATCTCCGGTGACTTGGCCTGAGGCTGGCAAACATACTGAGCAGCCTGAGCCCATGGATCCTGGCGGTGGTTGCCAAGTTCTCAACAGACATTTTTCTTTCCACAGATTCCTGCTAGTGCGGAATCGCTTAGGGATACTGATTTGTGCAGCTTATTTCAGGGCCTCACACTCCTGTGGTGTATGAGATAGTGGAGTCCTGGGACTGTCCTGCCACTCTTCCAGTCTTTGGGCCTGGGAACCTAAGTCCAGAACCCTAAGTCCAGGTCTCTAGTTGTATGAAGTGCTCCCAGATACTGGCAACCTGTGGAATGAGATGCAGGAGGTCCTCCCAGGTAAATGTGCCAAATGTGCAAATGCTTGGGGTAAAGACTGAGTTGGTTTAGGTACATGCAGGCATCCTTTTTTATTTTTCTAAAAAAAAGAGAAGTGGTAACAATGGGACAGGAGTCAGGCCTAGAGGAGCTTTGTAACAACTTGGGATTTGGTTCTCCAGGTGATGAGATCATTGGGATAATTAGAGCAGTGGAGTCAGGTGATCTGACCCAGGTGTCATTAGATTCCCTGTGTCTGCAGCATGATGAACAATATGCCTTTGAGGGAGGTGGTAGGAAGACAAAGAAAGAAGTTGCTATATTGGTCTTGGTGAGTGTGATGGTAACTTGGCCTTGTGGAGGGGAAGTCGCAGTTGCCTTCTGGATTAGTATTTTAGGTGTGGACACCTGGATTTTCTAATTTTGTGTTTGGGAAAGAGGAAGGTAATATTCAATAATGAAGTGAAGATATGAAATTAGCAGCTGGAGGTATGGAATCAACATCAATTGAGATGGAGAAAGTCATAGATTAATGTTTATTGGGAATACAAAAACTTTTATTTTTAATCTGATAAATTATTTCAGAGAGCATTTCATGAGCATCTAGAACTTTGATGAACAGTTCAATATGAAGACTTCTTTAAAAAAAGGTAATGGAAAATTTATGGGGGGAGTTCTAGATCAGCTTTTGTGTTTTGTTGTTTGTTTGTAATTGGATGCTAAATAGTATTTCAAAGATGATAAAACTGGGGTCAGTCCATATTTACTTCTCTAAACTCTTACCATGATTGTTTTGGTTATCATTGGTATGGCCTGGGGAGTTGCAGTCAGCTTGGTGGAATTGCTTAGGGGCATGAGACTCACTGAGCATGGGTTAGAGAGACATAGATGATGGGACTTGCATGATGAAGACTATGACTCGTGAAGGGACATTAAGTGCCGCACAGGTGAAGGTGGGCTCTGGATGTCTGAGATCTGATGTGGTTCTCAATAGGTGAGGTTGAAGTAAAAACCAATCAGGGAGGGAGGGCTTTATATAAGGATTCAAGGCTGCTTCTATGAGTGTGGACTACCAAAGTTGACGAAGTACTTCATCCATTTTGAATTGATCAGGCATTCATTCTCTGGGCCACAGCATGCCTAATAATGAGTAGGAAGTTAAGAAGATGACTATGGGGGATAGGAGTGTGGGAGTGCAGGTGTGAGAAGGGTGTGCTAAAAAGACTGATGTGCACTTGGAGAGGGTATGTTAGTTCATGACAGTAGGGTCTTTACATTGACTAAAGAGTGAATTAAAGGTGAATCCATTTTTGGTGGTGCTTGGCTGATATAATAAGTGGAATTTTAGTGTAATTGTCTGAAAAGAGGGGTGTTGCCATGCTACATGCAATATACAGAGCTTAGGTGTTATGTATGTGCACACCTGTCAGTTGTTGAGGGCTAATACAGTGATCATTAGGAATACTATAGCATACATCAGTGTCACCTGGGCTTGAAAATCTCCACTGGCATTAGGAAGGCAGAGGGTAGGAGAGAAATACGTTACAGAATGGTGATTTAGAATTTTGGAAAAGAAGGTGATTGGAACAAAACCTGGCCTCATTACAATGTATTTGTTTTCTTTGAAGTTGTGACTCTGGGAAATAGGCTGTGTGAGAGGAGCGTGTTTCAAAGAACTATATTTCAAAGAATTAGTGCAAAGTGATGGACTCAGCATCCTGGAATTGAGTTCCAAATAGTGAAGTGTGATGCCATGCTTTTTTGGGTCTTGGAGGACAATCTGGGCACTTCAAGGGAATGCCTGATAAAACCAATGACAAATCATTCACACTCTCTTCATGGCCAAAATCTCTCCCTACCTTATGTTGGGGACATAAACCGTATTGATAAGAGGAAGTATGGCCTACATGTGAGGCCCAAAACTCAGATATCTTCTATCTGCTTATCAGCCTTTATTGTTGTGGGAAGACAAAGTATCAGTTGGAACATAGAAGAGAGTTACTTTGATGGGACAGAGGCCTGACCCCTCCTGTGATGAAGGTAGTAGAGGGAGAGATGTGGAGGGATGGATGTGGAAGGTGGGGAGTATTATAAACATAAAATCATAGGAGAGATGCTGATCATGGGTCATCTGTCCCCATTATAACAGGATATGAATTTTGAGGATGTGGCCATTGCCTTCTCTCAAGAGGAGTGGGGGCTCCTTGATGAGGATCAGAGACATCTATACTGCGATGTGATGCTGGAAGTTTTTGCACTTGTATCATCTGTAGGTAAGACTTCCACATTCTCCTACTGTCCTGAGGTGATGGCCTCTCTACCTTTTTTCTCCAGATGTAACTTTCTCCCTCCCACAGCCAAACCAGGGGCTCTGCCAATTTTCCCCACATTCTTGTAAAATGTGCTGTGGATGCAAGTGCTGAGCTGTGTGGAGAGCCCTGAGCAATGGACTCACCAAACACCCCTAATACCCAGTGCCTCAGAGTGTGTAGGAAGTATGTAGCTGCTCACCTCTGTTGTCTTTCATTAATACTTGGAATATTTAGGTTTTACGTAATTTTACAGTGGAAAGTGCAAGGAGAACCCTGGTTTTTTTACAGGGTGAACATGCAGGATGATCTCAGAGGAGGCCTGGCCCTGATGAGTGGCAAATGGGGAAAAGATAACATTTTGCATCACCTTTCCCCCTGCAAGGCTTTCTCTGCATTATTCTCCAACATTGACCTGCACATGTGTTATGAGGTGCACATACATGCTTAAGTAGACCTCAAACACAAGCTATTAATTTATTGAATTTTACTTGGAATAAGATGTAACCAACATTCTACACAGCTTGCTCATGTCACTAGCAGAGAAGCCCTGCTGAATGCTGTTAGCAGAAGAATGAGTGTGTGATACCTTTTGTGTTCCATGTAGTGCCTGCCATGTTTGCATCATATTTCATTTGAGGTGTTTATTGTTTTTGATCTTCAGTAGCCCATAACTTCATAGCAGCATCTTGTAAATCCTTCTTGCAAATCTTTTTTTTTCAGCCAGTTGCATGAAGCCAAGGTAACATGTGCAACACACTTTTGTAATGGAATTTCCCCCGTCACCACAGTCAACATTCATTTTCTCATCATTTTTTGTTTTTCAGGTTGTTGGCATAAAACAGAAAAGGAGGACGCCTGTTCTGCTGAGAGTGTTTCTGTACAAGGAGAGTCAAAATTCATGGCTTCTAAGACAGCTACAGCAACCCAGAGGACGCGTCTCTGTAAACAGTGTTTCTCAGTTTTAAAAGTTATTCTGCACCTGACTGAGTCACAAGCAGCATGCATTGAGCAGAAAGCCTTCTTCAGTGACAAATCTGTGAGAAACTTCTGTTCCAATGTAAACCATCACCAGCAACAGAGGGATACCCGTGGAGAGAAGCCCTGGGAAGAAGCTATGGATGGGGCCTCCTTTGTGACCAGCTGCACCTTCTACTTATCAGGGGTGCCTTCAACCACTAGGGAAGCTGGGAAAGACTGGCCAGCCAGCTCAGGGTTGTTGCAGTCCCAGGCAACTCTTAATACCGAGGAGCCTCACAGTGGCAGTGAGACTTCACAGAAATTTCTCAGTGGAAAAAGTCTTCAACAGTGTAGCAAACGTGAAAATGCTGCAAGCCACAGACATAAATTTGTTCAATATCAGGATGTCTGCTCTGGTGAAGTGAAATACGAGTGTAACAAATGTGGAAAAGTTTTTAGATGTATTATTAACATCAATCAACATAGGGGAGGTCACACTGGAGAAAAGTCCTATGAGTGTAGTAATTGTGGTAAGTCATTCAGCAAAAGCTATAATCTCATTGAACATCAGAAAATTCACACTGGAGAAAAACCTTATGAGTGTAGTGAATGTGGGAAATCTTTTAGGTACAATAGTCACCTCCTTAATCACAAAAGAGTTCACACTGGGGAAAAGCCGTATAAATGTAGTGAGTGTGGGAAGTCCTTCAGTCATAACTCTAACCTCATTAAACACCACAGAGTTCACACTGGAGAAAAGCCATACGAGTGCAGTGATTGTGGGAAGTTCTTCACTCAAAGCACTAACCTCAGTCAACACCACAGAGTTCACACCGGGGAAAAGCCATATGAGTGTAGTGATTGTGGGAAGTCCTTCAGTCAAAGCTCTAACCTTAGTCAACACCACAGAGTTCACACTGGAGAAAAGCTGTATCAATGTAGTGATTGAGGGAAGTCCTTCAGTCAAAGCTCTAACCTCATTAAACATCACAGTTCACACTGGAGAAAAACATTTTGAGTGTAGTAGATGTGGGAAATCTTTTAGGTATAATAATCACCTCCTTAAACAGAAAAGAGTTCACACTGGAGAAAAACCTTTTGAGTCTAGTGTATGTGGGAAATATTTTAGCCACAAACATAGTCTGGTCACACACCTGAGAGTTCACACTGGGGAAAAGCTTTAAATGTCCAGATCATATTTCATCTTTCTCACTCAGAATGAAAACACTGAAGGAGATACTTTGGGACCCATTTACCAAATATAAACTCCTTTTGTCAAAACATACACTCTGCTAAATTCTTCATAAGCTTCAAGTACAAGTGAGGCTTGAAGGATCTGCATTTGCCAACCTGCCCAGACCTAATACCCGATTGATGTCTCTCCATGTATTTGTGGCTGAAACAATTCCACTTCTACCACCTGAAGAATGTGCATTGGTAACATCACCTGTGTGCTCAGGGGAAATATATTCTGTGTTCTCACTTGTACTTGAGGAAATTATGATTATTATGACCTCTTAGCAGTATCTTCATTCCTTTATCTCCGACTAGGGAATGCACCTGACCCAGGATTCATCCAGAGCACCTGTCCTCAGCTAAGAAGTGCTACTTCTGACAGGGACATTGTGGTTCTCACATTAGCTGTGATGAATTATTTAAGGTTCTAATTCACCAACCTGCAAACTGCTTGCTGTCCTCTGCTCCTTTTATGTTTTTGTAAAGTTGTTTTTTTTTCTTTTATACCTTTAATTCATTGGTTCTACTCACTGCCTGGGATGATTGGAATGGAAAGTTTTGATCTGTCAGCATGGAGAGATAAATGGATATGGTGTGGTCCCAAACTTTTGTGCTTTGGAAGTCATAGCATGATAGCAGAAAATTCCTCTTTGTCTAATATTGGCTAATTTTGTATTGCTGACCAAGGCCTTAAATGAAAGTGTACATGACTTTTTGTTTTTAATTTGAAGTTTGGTGTCTCCATTATTGGTGAGGTCAATGGTCATCCTAAAGAGGAGGCCTTTGTTGTGCTTATACAAACAATATGAATTATGATCTCTGTTCACAGTATCCTATATAATAAAAGGCTAATATGCAAATTATCCCCTTGGGAGTTCAACTGCTCGCTATGACATTCACTGACCACCAGGGAGCGGCACAGAATGAAGGAAGGCCCCTGGCCGGCAGCCAGGAGAAGAAAGGCCCCGGCCAGTGATCTGAAGGCCCCAATCGGCCCTGATTTCCATCCAGTTCTTGGGACCCTACCTGTGAACGAATTTCATGCACCAGGCCTCTAGTGTATTATATAAGTTTCAGCAATGTTTAGAGAACTACTCTATACATGCTCCAAAGAGGTCATGTGCCATGATGTATGAAATTCCATAGACTGTTGTCACTTGTAATACTCTGAGGTGGAATTAGTATTGGGACAGAAACACTGTTTTCATGGAAATGGGAAAGACTTTAGTTAAATGAGATGAAAAGTGCCTCTTCTGGACATAAATCCAAAATTATTCCAGGGCCTCTGGCTTGTATGATCATTTAGGACATTCTGAGGACCTCCATAACTATTTCCTGTAGCTGAAGCCACTGGCAGAAAAAAATAATATAAAAGTGGTGTGGATTCCCCTAGCCCCGATAGGGTGTTCACCTCAAGGTTGTTGCTCAACAGGCAAGAACTCAAAGATAGAGGAAGGCTAATCCTATAATCAATCCCAGTTTGTGTCTTTTGTAACCACTGAGCACTCCTGTTGGTTCTGATGGCAATAGTCTACACTGCTTGCCAATATTTCCTGCCACTGAGACAAGGCTCTTCCTCCCAGAATAGGTAAACTGACATGCAACAAACTGCCCTTTTCTAATGTGTACTATTTGGTGAGCTTTGATGTACATATAAAGCTGTGAAACCATCATACATGAAACAAACTTATCTGTCACCAATATACACGGAGCAAAAATAGATTTACAGTTTTGAGCACCCAAAAAACAGTTTATTCTTTTTAAAAAATATTTTAAACATTACTTACATTGTTTCTTTTAGGGAACTGGAAGGGAGGTGAATGAGAGAGAAACATCTATATGAAAGAGATACATTAATCAGCTGCCTCCTGCTTTCCCCTACTGGGGTTTGAGGAGGGCATGTGCCCTGACCTGTTCTAGTGACCTTTAAGTGTGGGAGTGATGCCCAACAGACTGAGCGACACTGGCCAGGGCAGAGTACATTTTTGAATTATTATTTGTTAATTATTGTATTAATTTCCATACCAACTTTTTTTTGGCACACCCTATATTTACCTCCTGCCCCTTTATAATCTCACTCTTTATTTTCCCAGTCCTCCTTGCAGGCATTGATTTTCCTTCCATTACAATGCATTAGTTCATATTTTTTATAATTTTATAGGCACTATAATGTGTGTACTCTTTAACAAATATTGGTTTTCTTCATGCTGCACAGTTATTTTGAGACTCAATACAAATGCTTATGTGAATAGTTAATTTTTAACTGCTGAGTAGTATTGTGATCTGTGAATTACCACATTATTGATCTGTCTATGATTTTGGTCATTTCCAGCATTGGGATATTATAAATAAATCAGCTAGGAATATTTGCATTAATTTCTTTTTTAAAATATATTTTTATTGATTTCAGAGAGGAAGGGAGAGGGAGAGAGAGATGGAAACATCAATGATGAGAGAACATCACTGATCGGCCTCCTGCACGCCCCTTACTGGGGATCAAGCCCGCAACCTGGACACATGCTCTTGACAAGAATCAACCCCAGGACCCTTCAATCATCAGGCTGATGCTCTATCCACTGAACTAAACTGGCCAGGGCCTTTCACTTCTTTATATAGATACTAGTGGCCCAGTGCACAGATACATGCACATTGAAAGGAAATTAATTAGAAGAAATACTTTAATATTGCTATTCACTCTTTCTCTATAATAGAAGTGTCAACCAAATTCATGATCGACAATGACAGATGGAAACACACGTGCAGTTGGTGTCAGTGAGAGCTTTATATGTATCAGGCATGCGCAAGTCAACATTTATTTCTAAATTGCCAGTGCACATCATATGTACTGGTTGGTCACTTAGCCTTTTATATACTAGGTATACCATTTAGTAATGCGGATTTTTTTTAATATGTTGAGATATATGCGATTTGATATGTATGCTATTTTGTTGTATTGACAGCAAGTTTCAAAACTTCATATGTCAAATTTGCTAAAGGTGTTAACAACATAGATATTTTTATGCTTTAAAAAGTTGAATTTCATGCCAAAAAAGCATTTTGGGGAAGTCTTAATTCATTATATTGAAGAAAAAGTTACTGTATACTTTGGGAAGCTTGTGGTGAACATGCTCCATCTCAAGATACTTGTGAACGCTGGTTTAAACATTTTAAAAGAGATGATT